GTGTACACAGTATGCTTCGGGCCCGTAGTTGCCTGCGGAGACGTCTACTGAGAGAACGCCCAGTCGGAGGCCCTAGAGCCTCGAAGGGTAGCTTTGTAGAATAGGTTTGGGTGAACAAGACCCTAACTACGGTGCTATTTTTAGAATTCGAAGCCTTTCCCAGGCTTCACTTACGGCATAGACTCGCGCTACCATAAGGCGCTTCGATAAGGCAGCGGCTTTCCAACCTCAATCTGTCTGTTCGTGATGACAGCCCGAATCGGTCTGTTTGTGGTGGCAGTCTGAATCTGTCTGTTCCTGATTCCAGCCATCGATGGAGCACGTGAATCTGGTGGCGATGATTATAGTCTGAGAGTGAGGGTCTGCTTGCCATCGAAGGATCCACATGACCCCTTCAAGGCTGCAAGATTGAACGGAGAGGACTTGAGGGTATGCTTGCCAATGTTCCCTCAGGCTGGCGAAATCAAGTGGTGTTCAGCATCCATCCGCACCGCACATGCAGTACAACATCTACCTCCATCTCGAGTTATATTGACCACCGTCTCTTCCCCAACACAGCACTGACACAGCCTCATCATGTGCTTAAACAAGTTATCCTTCTGGGATTATACAGTCATAACAAGGACGCATTCTGTTCAGGGGAAGACAGTACATATTGTGTGTGTAGAACTATCTATCCATCCATGTCACCATTGCTAATCACGCTTCGGAATCCCTGGCCTACTACTCATCATCATTTCTACTTTGCGCTTCTACACAACACATCAGATTCTCTCATCCGAAAGCGCACCATCCACCTCCGAACATAACACATGGTCAATAGACTCAATACCAGTAGCTGCACTGAGTACGACTGTTACAGTAGGCCGAGACACAGGGTTCCGCCTCACGGCACACGAAACGAAAACGAAACGAGTGCATCTGCCCACAAAAGGTGGCAAAATACAATCCTTACTATTTATAGCAAACCTTTGAACCTGGCCATTTTCTGCCAGGAAGATGCACTCGTTTCGGTTTTGGTTTCGTGCCCCGTGCGGCGACGCCCACAGATACAAATGTAGGGAATCAAAAGGGGCGCTGTGTTTGGTGGAAGAAAGGTAAAGAGTTCTATACCAGTTCTATACCAACGTTCATGGCTGAGTAACTTGAGTTGGTACTACACCTATAAAGTTATAAACTGCTGAAATACAGACCTGTGCTCGAATCCGAAAGAAAGAAAGTGAATGAAAATTCTGAATTACCTTAAGGGCTTGTCAGTTCAGATGATAGCTAAAGGCCATCGCCCTTTCTTTTTTTTTCTTTTTTCTTTTTTTTTATAAAAAGGCTAATTCTTTGAAGCCCAACCAATTCAATTACCTGTCAAATCTGGACAGGACGGCCTTTCAGGCCTTTTTTATTGTCATTATAGTATTACAGGGAACCCCGTAGCAGCCACATCCGTGCTCAAGCCTCCAACGAGGGAACATGCGGGAGCTGCACCCACCTGCTCAAGCCTCCAACGAGGGAACATGCGGGTGCTGCACCCACCAGCAGGTGCGATACCTGCTACAGCAGGTGGGCGATACCGGCCACTGCGGCCAGGGGTCAGCCGGTAGCATCAGGACCGAGCTTCTTCGATGGGCCAGTCACTGTGCCTCCCCTCCGGTCCCCTCCCCCTATGAACATCAGCAGTCTCTGCTCAATGCCACTCGAGCTTCTTCGATGGGCCAGTCACTGTGCCTCCCCTCCGGTCCCCTCCCCCTATGAACATCAGCAGTCTCTGCTCAATGCCACTCGGGGGGACCAACGGCATATCTCTAGATGGCGGGCACCAAGCTGGCTCAGGAAGGTGCATGAGGCCAATGGGGATTGAACCCAAGACCTCCTGAATGCCACTTGCGTGCCTTACCAACTGAG